ATATGATGATAATATTTTTGTCATTTCATCTTAATTGATCATATTATGATAAAATTTAGTGTTATTTTTAGATTAATAAAATATTACTGATGATTATGATGAATTTCTACTGATTAATATATATTGTTTAACCTCTGTAATAGAAACTGTAACCTGCTCAATTTCTTAAATGGACTTGGCCGGCTTGCATTTTTAGCTCGACTTTTCTATGAAAAGGGGAGCTATCCTACTCGCCACGGCGTCGGCGTCGGCGTTAGCGTTGGCGTCACACCTTGGTTAAGTTTTTCGTACCACCCCACTTTATTTCAGAAGTATTACAAGTATGGCTTTGAAACTTACCATACTTGTTCACCATCATAACCTCCATCTACAGACAAGAGTACATAACTCTGTCAAGGTTTTTGACAGAATTATGGCCCTTTTTTGACTTAGAAAGTGTATTGAGCTTGGTTAAGTTTTTTGTACCACCTCACTTTATTTCAAAACCATTGGAGGTATTGCTTTGAAACTGACCATACTTGTTTACCATCACGACCTTCATCAACAGACAAGAGGACATAACTCTGTCAGGTTTTTGACAGAATTATGCCCCTTTTTGACTTAGAAAATACATTGAATATGGGTAAAATCCACTTATTGCCTTAACCCTTTGAGATATTGCTTTGAAACTTTTAATGCTATTTCACATCATTACCCCCATCTGTACGCAAGAGAAGGTAACTCTGTCAAGGATTTGTTTTAAAAATTAAGGCCTTTTATCGACTTAGAATCTTGGTTAAGTTTTTAGTACCAGTCCACTTTTTGACTGAAACTGTTTGAGATATTAATTTGAAAGTTGGAATACTTGTTTACAATCATGATTCCCAAACATGTCCAGGAGAAGGTAATTCTGTCAAAGATTTTATTTGAATTATGGCCCTTAACTGTCAATGTTTTGTATTATAGGCAAGCACTAAAAAACTTAAAAAATCTAAAAAAATTCATTCCTATCCACTTGTTCACTTTACAATAAATTATGTCATAATAAAATAATTCTTCACTAAATATCTTAATGCTCATGGCCATTGTTCACTTTAAAAATACAGAGATTCTTGTATTGCCTTTTACTGCAAAAACTTTTTTTATTGGCAAGCAATAAAAAAGTCGAGCGCGCTGTCTTACGGACAGCTCTTGTTAGAACTGCCCATTATCATTTTAAGGGATATCAGTATATATTAAGTAAATCAGTCAACAGCAGAGAGGCTCAGTCAGACTGCACAGATTCTCTATATTGGTGGCAAAGGAAAATAAGTGGGAACAAGCAGAGTAATGGTACAAGCAGGTTGAAGTTTGATAAATTATAGTTGATAAATGAGCTGTGCCATGACAAAACCAACATGCGCATCCATGCTGGTCACAAACGCACTATGTTGGTTTTGTGGAGACGCGGCTCAAATGATGTACTGAGACATAAAATAGCAGTGTTAAATAAATAGACACTTACGACATAAATAATAGGAAAATAATACTTAAGAGAGTTAAAGTATATATAATTATAGTTTTTTATCACATACCCGTGCCGCTTTTTTCTGACTCTGTAAAAATGGTATGGCACGGTCATACATATATTTTGATGTGACGTCACTAGCGTCACTAACAGACATAGCTTTAAAGCATGCTAATTTTGGTGTTACCATATAGGCGCGTCAATGAAAATTTGATTGTTTTAACTGAAAAATATTTCTTTGTTAGATCAGTGATAAATAGAATATTATATTTGTGTAGGTTGAACCATTCATTACTGAATTTATTGAATTTGTTGAATAAAGTAATATGCTCGCTTATAAATTTATTTAAAGGGAGACACAGGCAAAATTTTCATTTCTTAGTTTTGAATTTTTCATTCATTATTCTGTAAATGCCCTCAAAATGAATATTTTAGACAGTCAAAGGAACAAAACTTTTCTCCATATAAAGAATAAAATGGTGGTTTCCTAACTTGACCCGCGTGGGTCAGGTTAGAGCGCTAGGATTTCACAATAGTTGTCAAAGTGAACTCTGGAAACGTTAAAAAACATGTCAAATGAATGACTTAGACTTCTTTCAATCATACAATATCCATAATATCTGTTGTTGTAACGTCAAGGGTTTGTTCAAGTCATGTGACTTGTTTTAAAACTAGTTGGTGATTCTATTCGGGTCTAAATTTTGTTCAACATATATAGATATATTTACACTTCAAACCCAAAATATTTAGAATTTAAACAGAAATTCATGCTGAAACTTCATTAAATGCCATTTTAGCGGATTTAAGTACATAAGATCACTTTAATATTTTTGTCATTATTTTGCCTGAATATCCCTTTAACTTGTTCAATAAATTCAGTATTGAACCTGCACTCATTCAATATCCTCTATTTAATTTGGAACAGAATTCATGGTTTGTAATGAATCATGTTTCTAGAAATAAAATGGAAGTATCGTTTCATGGGGTATTAAACAGCAGAATTGAAACAACATATTAAAAGAATGGTCTTAAATCAGATTAAAAGACCATCAAGCAATTATCATTCAGCATGTTACTAGGTATGTTTTCTTAGAGGTTAATTGCTCCGACAGAATTCTGGTGTCACATAATAGACAAAACTTACTTTCCAAATGGAATAATAACACCAGTATAATGGTTGTTTTCTTTCCAACATGACAGAGATGGCATGCATGGAATAGAGATTATCTGTAATTATTAGATGGAGAATTTGTATATAAAAATATTTCTACTGTCATAATGGGATGTAAGAATTATCAGGCTGAAAGAATAAGGGTAAAGAATGACTTTATACATTGACTTTGATTGTAATTGTTTTAGTTTGATTGTGTGGAAAACTTTACCTGTACGCCAATAGCCACACTCTTGAATCAGTTCCTGGAACCAATGTGTCCAGAAAACAATGGATAGCCCCTGACAGTGAAATAGCTTTAACATGTTATTTATAATTTTATTACCTATAATTTATGTGTATAGATATTGTTAAACATAAGGTTAAGGTCGTTGACTTCAAACCACTTGCCCGTCACCGCTTTGGGTTCGAATCCCGACAGGGACTTTGGATTCTTTCATGTGAGGGAGTTATCCAGCTAGATTACAGAATGTCGGTGGTTCTACTCAGGTGCCCGTTTGTGCCTGAAATAATGCATGGAAGGGAACCTGAGGTCTTCCTCCACGATTAAAGCTGGAATGTAGCCATATGACCTAGTTAAGCTATACTGTGTCGGTGTCATGTAAAATCAAACAAAACAAACATAACAGAAAAGTATTTAATACTTTTGAAAACACAAATTTTGATGTAAATTATTGAATGTATGACTATAGTACATTTTGATGATACAGGAACATTAGTCACATGATGTCATCAGTAAAATCTGGCAGAAAGATTTTAGTATTTCTGTATTAAAATTCCTGAAATGAACAATTTAAGAGTTAAGCTACTGTCGGTATAAGTGTAAAACCATTAGACTTGTTATATACAGATATATAAGTAATGTTGATAGGTAAGTGTTGAAGGTGAGATAGACATGGCTCCTTACATCTATGTTTTATGTACCACATGTCAATCTATATTACACGATAATTAATGTAAAAGAAACTGAGAGATTTATACCAGTGTTTTCTATACTGGAGGCAATCTCTCGCAAAATCTTCTCATTTATTGGTTACTAGTAGCTTTATATATCAAGTAATACAACATATCAAGTAATACAACATATCAAGTAATACAACTCCAATGTTAAGATATTTAATGTTTATGATTTTAATGCTGTCTTCATGATTGTGCTTATAATATTGTTTGAAAACAAAACTGAGGGGGATGGGGGGAGGTTGGACTTTTGAGTATCTTGTAAAATCTTAACAAACATTATTAATAATAATCAGCTTGTCAGTCGACATTTGTTCAGCTTGGCTTTCTTCCCTTTCCTCTTTTCCTTAAATTTGGGGAAAAATAGTATTTGGGCAAACTTGGTTTTTGTCAAAAGAAACATGAAAATTAACAAAATTTGGGGTATCTTAATTTCTTTTAATGTAATAGAAGTCATAAATGATGTCACACGTTTGTAATTCATCAAATGCCTCTAGTTTACATTTTAACAGAAAATTACTTTCACAAATAAAGTAGGAGAACAAAATGCCACAGACATATTAATCTCTTTGTTGAAGAAATCTGTCTAACTTCTACAAAATTAATGAAAGAAATAGTAGTATGGTTGGCCAATATTTATTTTCTCTGATTTACCAGCAGGTATGTCTGTAAAAACATTATTGTCTATAAATCAGTGAGGTCTATTGCCCGATAAAAACACGTTTAGTAAAGTCTTAAAATGAATTTTGATTAGCATTTAATTTCCATAGGGATTAGATAAGCGGCAAAGTCCCAGACAGGCATACAAAACAAGCATCAAAATATTTCTAATTTTATGCTCTAGTTGAAACCTCAGTGATAGTTAAGAACTTTAGCACTTATATCTGCCTTATCATGCCATAAATATTCAGTTTTTGTGCCCGGAAGATAATGCAAAAATTAAGAAGAGACATTGCCGGTTTGTTTCGGTATCAAGTTCCGGAAATGGAATAAAAACTTGATATTAGTAGACCATAAATTGAAACAAAACATGTTGTTATCTTTACTGTCTGGATAAGAGGAAAGAGTTGATTCCCCTGATCTCATCTTGTCTTAAACAAGTCATGGTGGTCGATGTACAACAAAACAGGCAGGCATTGTCCGATCATTGCACTGTAATCTGCTGGAACTAAAAGTGATAAGCCTTTGCCATCAGTATAGCCAACCAGGCTATATACTGTCTGGAGCTTTAAATTTTTCTATAGTTATATTGAATCCCTTCAATTCAATTCCAAATGATCCAAATTAGCAGCTTGGAAAATCCATGTCACAAATTCCTTAGGTTGAGGGTTATTTACAAGTATTTGATGAAAAGTTTCATGATTTCAATTGTTAATATATTTTCAGAATCAAAGAAAATGAGCTTCGTGTAAAGAAGATGCAGCAAAGATTGGTGAAGCAGCCTGTGAGAACCAGAACACGGAAAGCTGGCGGTCTTGTAAGTTATATTTACTTCCATTATTATATGTATATGTTGAGTTTTTAAGTAATAATGTTTTAATAGATGACAGATGATGCTTTAACTATTTATTGTGTAAGATTTAGAAAATGTGTGCAATTTCTCATTACATCTCTATGTATTTTTAAAATGCACATCCCACCCAAATACTTCACAACCACATGGTCTTATTGTATCTCTGTGACCACATACTTGCTTTGTATCTATCTAACCACAATCTGTGTGTCCATGTAACCACATTCAGTCAGTTGATACTTAATTTATTTTGGTTTGATTGTGTAACAGGCTATAAAGTTATAGATACATTCTTGAATCTGTTCCTGGAAGCAACCAGTACTGAGCAATTAGTATAGTTTCTTGCTCAAGGAAACAACAGGTTTCCCCTGATGGGGTAAGAACCCACACAACTAGAGATCCTTGACCAATTTCATTACCTTTCTTTCCTAATTTTCCTAAAAAAGTTAAAGATTCCTAAATTGTGAAACTTTCATATATTTTCGACATGCCATTGGTCCTAGGGGTTCACTTAACTTATATAGACATATATAAGAAAACATATTTAAATCTTCTAGTAAAACTACATTTAATCCTCTAGTAAAACTACATATATTATTATTTTATCAAATGAAATCTTCATTTGTCTTTGTAACAATTTTCATAAATATTTGTTTTTGAGGTGCATTATATATTATATTTTTGTAACAGTTTTTTTTTGGTATGTGTACTTGGGATATATGTATAACATTATTGTTATAATTGTATTACAGAAAGACAGATTAACAAAGCAAGGGTTGTTGGAGTCATGACAGGGTACGCTAGTGTTCATGGACAAGAAATGGTGTTATAATACATGTAGGAAGTTCCTGTGATCAATGCAATATTTACAGACTGGAATGTTTCAAATACAATCATGGTCATCATCCAGGTGTATGGTATGGCTATTGTCCATCCTGTCATTTTTGGAAGCAAGGGCTTACCATATGGGAGGACTTTTGTCCATTTCCCCTGTATGTTTATATGTCCATCATGGAATATATAACTCTGGGGAAGGAGATATTATGACATGTGTATCTGTATAAGGTGTGTGATTCTCCTCAAGGAATGAGACCAAAAAGAAAAGAAAAATGCCAAAAGTCCTTAGTTTATCTACCAGTGATTATTAAACTGTTGTTTAACAAATTACTACAGCAAAACTCTTGTTTGCGTTATACTGTATAGCACATACTGTAAACTGGCCTACTAGATCTGTTGAATATGATAAGTCATTTTATATTGTAAGATATTAATACATCATTTGAATTGTCACTTTCTTTATACTGAAATTATACTGAAACATGTTGTATCATATACACTAGAGATTGTTTTCTAGTCTTCAATAGTTATCACTCATTTGCTAGCCATTTTGTTTCTAAGAAACAATCAGTCCAATTAGTGCAGTTTGAGGCTGGCTTCTCTGATATAACCTTGAAGCATATGCGTTTACTTTAGCCTATTCTTTGTGGTAAAGCTGTTACTTAGTATCATAACATTTTATTAAGATGAAACATATATGTGTGTTAACCTATCAACTACAAATTCTAAGCACATTTTGTAATTTATCATGAATTTTTTATGTATATTTGTTAAAAAATTTAAACATTCCAAAACTGTTGTGTTTGATTGGTTATTAAGTGGATAATTTAAATGTGTTCCATTCCAGTTTCAAAAAGTTAGCTATTTTGTCTGTTTTTATCTTATGTACATCCCATTATAAAACTTACATAAATTATTTTTTTTTCCAAACACCTCTGTGATATTTGTATATTTATCTTCAAGATTTGTTTTGTTTGTTGATATAAACTGTCACATTCCTGTTTTAATATCCTTTATGTTTTACTACATATAACAATTCCATTTGATTAATCATACAGCAATACCGTGTAAAAGATCCAGTAATTGTGAAAAATATCATATCTTGCTATGTATACCTAAATGTGAGAGGAATCTTTATGTATAAGAAATTTAATATTTTATATGAAATTCAAGTCTGTTTCACAATTATTGTTTTAAAACAAATCAGATATTGTACAAAAGTACGTAAATTTTCCCTCATCTGTTACTATATTAAGTTTTAAGCATTTTATAGTATTATTTGATGCATTGTTAGAAAACGATAATATATATGTATGTAAACAAAGAAATCACCACTGTTTAGCTAAATAAATTTCATAGTATTACAGAAAATAGAATGTTTTTTGGGAGTGTTTAAGCTCACCTGAGCTTGCTCAGGGTGAGCTATTAGGATCGGTGAATGTCCGTCGTCCGTCGTACGTCCACAATTGCTTGTGAACACACTAGTGGTCACACTTATGACTCAATCATCATCAAACTTTGTCAGGATGCTTGTTTAGTCAATTGCTCGGATGAGTTCGAAACTGGGTCATTTTGGATGGAAAACTAGGTCAAAGGAGCTAAAAATAGAAAAACCTTGTGAACACTCTAGTAGTCACACTTTTGACCCAATCATCATCAACCTTTGTCAGAATGCTTGTTTAGATTATTGCTTGGATGAGTTCGAACATGGATCATCTCTGATGAAAATCTAGGTCACAGGAGCTATAAATAGAAAAACCTTGTGAACACTCTAGTGGTCACATTTTTGAACCAATCATCATCAAACTTGGTCAGAATGCTTGTCTAGTCAATTGCTTGGATGAGTTCGAACATGGGTCATCTCTGATGAAAAACTAGGTCACAGGAGCTAAAAATAGAAAAATCTTGTGAACACTAATGGTCACATTTTTGACCCAATCATCATCAAACTTTGTCAGGATGCTTGTTTAGATAATTGCGCAGATGAGTTTGAATATGGGTCATCTCTGATGAAAAACTAGGTCACAGGAGCTATAAATAGAAAAACCTTGTGAACACTCTAGTGGTCACATTTTTTACCCAATCATCATCAAACTTAGTGTGGATGCTTGTCTAGTCAATTGCTCAAATGAGTTGGAATATGGGTCATCTCTGATGAAAAACTAGGTCACAGGAGCTAAAAATAGAAAAACCTTTTGAACACTCTAGTGGTCACATTTTTTACCTAATCATGATCAAACTTTGTCAAGATGCTTGTTTAGATAATTGCTTTGATGAGTTTGCACATGGTTTATCTCCGATGAAAAACTAGGTCACAGGAGCTATAAATAGAAAAACCTTGTGAACACTCTAGTGGTCACATTTTTGACCCAATTATTAAGAAACCTTGTCAGGATGCTTGTTTAGTCAATTGTTTGGATGAGTTCGAACATGGGTCATCTCGGGGTGGAAAACTAGGTCACAGAAGCTAAAAATAGAAAAACCTTGCGAACAGTCTAGTGGTCACATATTTGACCCAATCATCATCAAACTTTGTCAGAATGCTTGTCTAGTCAATGCTTGGATAAGTTTGAACATGATTTATCTCGGATGGAAAACTAGGTCACAGGAGCTAAAAATAGAAAAACCTTGTGAACACTCTAGTGTCACATTTTTGACTCAATTATCATCAAACTTGGTCAGGATGCTTGTCTAGGTAATTGCTCGAATGTCAAGCTCGAATATGGGTCACCTGGGGTCAAAAACTAGGTCACACTGCTCAAATATGGATAATCCTTGTTAACACTAGTTGTCACATTTTTGACACACCTGTCATGAAACTTGGTCAGAACGCTTGTCTAGGTAATTGTTCGGATGAGTTTGACGGGTCAGGTGAGCGATCTAGGGCCATCTTGGCCCTCTTGTTTTAAGATAAAGCTTAAGTTTTCAAATTATGCAAAATATATGTTACATACTTTTTGAATTCCCATTATTTTCATAGATCCAAAAGTTTTATTTTTGTTATCTTTGAAATTGACTGAAAAGTTTTGGCATTCTGTTTATATTGAATATCAAAACAATATTATCTACCAAATACTGTAATGTGTAGACTCAATAATCAAATGTTCCCATTTTCATAGGAGACATCAGTTTTAAACTGATAACAATCAAAAAATTTTTTTGTTATTTTCTTTTTTTAAAAAACTAAGGTTTTAGAAAACAATCAAAATCATTCAAATTTTTTCTATCTCTATGTTTTAGAATCAAAATCATTGATTATTCAACATACATTTGTGTTCAACATCAGTAAATTATGAGTATAACATATAAATGATGATACACTCTTGATTGTAGCACTGGTTTCTTGTTCTCATTTATTTCTGGAGAAAAATAAATATCTAGATTAAATAATTATATATTCAGACATTCATGAAATGATATTCAATGAAAATCAAAGTTTAGGTGTGCAGTGAAAACAAATTGCGAATTTTTGACATTAAGCCCCATCCATACTTACAAAATCACTTTAATTGAAGCAATATGTTTACTTTTTTCAGTTTTAGCTCAACGGTTCCAAGAATAAGGGTAGCTATTGTACACAACCCAGTTTAGGTGACGGCAATCTCACTTTGGTTAATATTTTGCATGCAAGTTGGTATCTCCAAAACTACAGAAGGGAATAGGTTGAAACTTTACACACTTATTTAAGAGCATAATAGGAGGTCATTGTTTAAGACATAGATTTTTACAGAATGTTTGCCTTTTTGAATTTGGAAAACTCTACATTATCCAGCACTGAGAATAGTGGAGCATGCTGTTCTACTGACTGCTCTTGTTTTAATAAAGTAAGCTGCAATATAGAGTAAAATCTGTATAATTCAGGAGAGATTGATGAATTAAGTATTTCATGTTGTTGAGGGTAACATATGCTAATATTGTAAATTTCTGTGTTTCTCAGTCATTGTTACACACCATTTAATTTTGTATGTGAATATATGTATCAGTGATAATGAAATAATGAAATGTTTACGAAGAGCATATTATTTTGTATTTTGGCTGTATATTATTTAGATCTTCAAATAAGGAACTTGCTTTGAAAATGAAATATTTTTTTTTTGTTGTGCATTTTTTGCTCACCTTCACAATAAGTACTCAAAGGGTGGCAATTGTCTGTTGTCTCAAACTTCACTTTGTCTTTAAATATTTATGAAACTATACCAAACTTAGAAGTGATTTTTATGTTGCCCTCTACATAAAAAACATAGCTTATTAACCCTTTCACTGCCATAGGGACGGCTTAAGCTGTCCCTGTTATTTTCGGCGTATTTGCCATATGGACGGCTTAAGCCGTTTCTATAATAATAATAGTAATAATAATAAATTAATAATAATAATAATAAAAATAATAATAAATATAAAGAAAATTATACCATCGACAATAATTATTATTATACTAACAGATTTGGAAATATATATAGTTATTATAATACATATAACAAATGATAATAATTATATTAATTAATAATTTAATTTCTTAGAAAATCCTCTGGCAAATAGGTGAACAATAAAACAAAACCCTCTTGCAGCGAAAGGGTTAACATAATTACATCATTGTATGTAACATAAATTTTGAAAACTATATCTATAAAAATCTAACATGCTTAAGCCCAGAGCCTAGATACTTAATATGGAGCATTGCCTAGTGGTCATGTATAAAGATACATCAATCATGCCCCTTATGTCAGAATTGTAGATGCATTTAGAATCGCTTTTCTTAAATAGACTGCCGTAGAAAAAAAAGGCTTTTAAAAATCTCCTTGAAACTTAAATGTACATAATATTTTTATGGAGCATTGTCTAGTAGGCCTAGTGATTCCAAATGCCCTATTAATCAAAACTTTTATATTCAATTTTCTATTTACCAAGGTGGGCAATATCATGATGTATATTAGCTCTTATTCTATATAGATTGTTAATGAATCTAGATTTCACTGATTAGAATTGTTAGCAAGTAGTATACCTGTTAAATTTCTAAAATGAAATTTAATGTATATACATCTATTCCTATGCATAATTCATCAGTGTTTTGTTTTGTGGATGCAAATTTCAGTTACTGATATACAAACATATTTTTATTAACTTCTATTTTTATTCATTTTATTTTTTCTCTCCATAAATAATGAATATTATCATATTTAATCATGTTGCTTTATTTATATTTAATAAATAAGATGTCATGAGAAATAGTATAGATTTGTGCAGGTGTATTGATTAAATTTAGTATATACATAGGTTGCCATATCATTCTTTTATACATACACAGTGTTTTGTATAGATATCTGTACATATTGCAGTATTTTTGTATAGTTATCTGCACATACATGAAGGCTTGTAGAGATATCTGTACATACATGGTGTTTTGTATGGTTATCTGTACATATTGCAGTATCTATTTATAGTTATCTGTACATATTGCAGTATTTTGTATAGTTATATGTACATACACAGTGTTTTGTATAGTTATCTGTACATATTGCAGTATTTATGTATAGTACTGTATAGTTATATGTACATTCATATTACAGTGTTTTTGTATAGTTATCTGTACATATATAGGATATCTGTCTCATATGTAGAAGCAGGCTCAACAATACATGGGGAAAATCATTTGATGAGAATAATAGCTTTTATTCGCTTTTTTAGGTCAAAATAGGGTATATGACTGTATGATATAGCTACAAAAGTGTTAGACCATTCAGTGTTGTGAATGGTTCACTTTAGAACTGCCAAATGAACTTTTTTCATGTGTGAAACTACCAACCAGATATGAATGTAGCTTTCCAGGAGTTTTTTATACAAAATATTATTGTATAAAACATTTTATGTTAATGATGTACGCCTGTAGTTTATACAAAGATGATTTTCTGGCTTTTTACCAAATATAGAAATTTGTCTAAAATTGTATATGTATTTATTTTGTAAGATGATAAAAAAGGTTGATATTACATGGTGATGTTAATGTTTGCCCCTTCATATCAAAATGTTTTGAGTGAGCTAATATATATATATATATATATATATATATATATACAAAAAAATGAAAACAAGTGCCGGAAAAAAGTCACATATAAATAAAACAAAAAACACAGTCCATGAGTTAACTTATTTAATTATTTGCCAACCGGTTTCTCTTATGATCATCAGGGCAAATGTGACGTCGTCGCATAGTAACGACGACGTTTTTGTGTACACATGTGTACGCATAATCTAAAAATAGTAACGTCATTATATAGTATTAAGTTTTGGATTAAAAACATCAATAAAATAGCCTTCTTTAGATAACCTAGCTGAAACGTTTTTACTGTGAAATTTATAAAATGGGAAAATACAAAATTTCGGGTCTTTTTTAGAGCATTTATCTAAATGCTCACTTAAAGGTAATTGTCTGGTTGATGGGTCTCTTATCTGCTGAGCATGAACAGTTTTTCTGTTTCTGAGTTTGTCACCTGTTTGGCCTATGTAAAATTCTTTGCAGCCGTTGCAAACTAAAACATATAAAACATTTTCAACAGTACAGTCCATATTTTCTTTTGTATGAAATATTTTATTCTGAAGTTTTAAAGAATATCCTTCTATTAAATAATCACAGAGGCCACACCTCTGTTCGTTGCATTTTTTAACACAGGGCATTATATTGTTTTCTTTAAATTCTGAACTTATTAAAATGCTTTTTAAATTTGGTAATTGTCTTTTGCATTTTATTATGTTGGTATTGCTTATTATCTTTTTCATTTTTTCATCATGTTTCAGAATTTCCATGTTTGTTTTAATTATGCCAAACAATTCTCTGTTTTTCGGGTTACATGTTGAAATATATGGAAGAATTTTGTTTTTTGGTTGCTCCTTAACTTGAAGTAAGGTGGTTCGGGGAATCTCCAAAGCTTTTTTAATACCAGTTTTTATAAGTTGAATTGGAAATTTTCTTTTAATTAGAGTGATGGCGAGTTCCTTAAGTCTAATCTTAAGTATTTCCTTATCAGATACAATTGCACATATTCTTCTTGCTAGCGAAAACGGGATATTTGTTTTAATGTGTTTTGGATGACACGATTTAAAATTTAGATATTGTTTAGAATCAGTACTTTTAAAATATACATCAGTGACTATATATGTTCCTTTCTTAATAACCATTACATCTAAAAACGGAAGTCTGTCTGTACTTTGTTGTTTCTTAAATTGTATATCTTTATGAAGTGAATTAAGTATTTTTTCAAAATATAATAAATCAATTAGAGATCTTTGCCAAAATATAAAACAATCATCCAAAAATCTTTTCCAGTTACATTGAATATAATTAGCAAAATCTTCACCTTTCTGTTTGTTAATTTCTGAATACAATGTTTCTTCTAAATAACCTAGTACAAGTGTTGCATATGTTGGAGCAACCTTTGTCCCCATGGCTGTACCTTTTACCTGACTATAATATTGATTATTAAATGAAAAAATATTATTTTGTAAAATTATTTCAAGGCCATTTAATATAAAGCTCTTATCAAAACGATGTGTAATTAATTCTGGGTACTTATTTAACCAAAATGAAATGGCTTCTAAACCTAGTTTATGGGGTATATTTGTGTACCTTGTGTACCTTGTGTACACAAATATACCCCATAAACTAGGTTTAGAAGCCATTTCATTTTGGTTAAATAAGTACCCAGAATTAATTACACAAACATCGTTTCCAATTCAACTTATAAAAACTGGTATTAAAAAAGCTTTGGAGATTCCCCGAACCACCTTACTTCAAGTTAAGGAGCAACCAAAAAACAAAATTCTTCCATATATTTCAACATGTAACCCGAAAAACAGAGAATTGTTTGGCATAATTAAAACAAACATGGAAATTCTGAAACATGATGAAAAAATGAAAAAGATAATAAGCAATACCAACATAATAAAATGCAAAAGACAATTACCAAATTTAAAAAGCATTTTAATAAGTTCAGAATTTAAAGAAAACAATATAATGCCCTGTGTTAAAAAATGCAACGAACAGAGGTGTGGCCTCTGTGATTATTTAATAGAAGGATATTCTTTAAAACTTCAGGATAAAACATTTCATACAAAAGAAAATATGGACTGTACTGTTGAAAATGTTTTATATGTTTTAGTTTGCAACGGCTGCAAAGAATTTTACATAGGCCAAACAGGTGACAAACTCAGAAACAGAAAAACTGTTCATGCTCAGCAGATAAGAGACCCATCAACCAGACAATTACCTTTAAGTGAGCATTTAGATAAATGCTCTAAAAAAGACCCGAAATTTTGTATTTTCCCATTTTATAAATTTCACAGTAAAAACGTTTCAGCTAGGTTATCTAAAGAAGGCTATTTTATTGATGTTTTTAATCCAAAACTTAATACTATATAATGACGTTACTATTTTTAGATTATGCGTACACATGTGTACACAAAAACGTCGTCGTTACTATATATGATGGATGTCATATGACATTAACAAGTGGGAATGTTTTTTGTTTTCATTACCTTATGAATCTAAAGTCTACAATCTTGCTTCATGATTGTAGTGGAATAATGGCATACCAGTTTAGAAATTTGCTGTGAATAACTACATTTTGAGCAAATTTGGGTCACTAAGGGTCCTCTCATGTTGTTGATTTGTATGCCATCACAACCATTATAGAGCTAGACCAGCCTGTACAACAATGCAGTCTGACCTGGCTCTATACTGTTGGCTGAATAACTTGATATCCAAAAAATTGATAATGAACTGTTCCAAAAATGGAAGTTGGGAAAAGTTCAGTAAAACAATTCAGGAGGTTAAGTAACACTTATTTCAAGTTCATGACTGTCTTTAAGAAGTTTATTACTGAATGTTGGAGTACTTTACTAGTAACCTCAGTTTGATATTAACTTGTATATTTTCTTGCTGCTTTAACAGTGATTTATTTGAATGATTTATACACAGTTGTTACTGATATTTACATAGAGAAGATTTTTGTTGTGATATTAGAGAATATATTATAATGTTATTTATTTGAAGTGTTTGTTTGAGGAACTAGTTACCTAGTTTATATTCTTTTTTTCTTCTTCTTTTTTGATAGCTTTTTGTCTAACTATGGGATATTATAAGTTTATTCAAGCTGTGGGTATGATATATTGGTATATATAACCTGACTGAGATAACTTTAAGACACTAGCAGGTGATATATCTCATCATGCACTTAATGACCTCTACAATGTTTGT